GGTATAATGGTGTTGTTTTAGATAGATCGCGAATACTACAATACCGGTTATAGTAATAGTAGTCATTTAGTTAAAGCTGCATTCATATATTTTCAGTCTCTAGGGGGCAGGAAAACATCATAACAAAATGACAGACTGCCACCACCATCACTGATACTGTTGTTGTAGCTAACACTGCTGACTCAAAATGCATACTAGTTGCTAACTTTATCTGCCGTTTGGTGCTGGGCGGGTAGCTTGGTTTATCAAACCATCATGTACTGAGATTAAGGAGAGCAGTGAGAGAGAAGTATACAGTACATTTATGGATTTGATACCAAAACAATAAGCTAAAAGAGGCTAAAAAGCTGCACTCCACGAACCACTTTCCATGGAGTCCGCCATGTTGAACTGCCATTTTTCTACAGTAACCTAGAACAGACAAACCAAACACTGGCTCTAAGTTTCACAGCCACTATAGTTTCTCCTGCACAATTCCCAGATCCTCAAATACGGATGCTAACTGAACACTGCTAGATGGCACTAAATTCTACACACTGATCCTTTAAAAAGATCCAGTGTGTAACATTTAGGAGGATGCATTGGCAGAAATCGAATATAATATTCTTATATAGGTACCGTATGTTTTAATTAGTGTATAATGTTGTTTTTTAATTTCCTTAGAATGAGCAATTTTATCTACAGAGGGAACAGGTCCTCTTCTACAGTCGTCCGTTCTTTCAGGGTCTCCAATGAATGAAGTCTTGTATAGGGCTCTAGCGGGGGACTCCATAGTTCTCCTGGGAGAATTCAACACACATGTGGGCAATGATGGAGACACTTGGGGGGACGTAATTGGGAGGAACTGCCTCCCCGATCTGAACCCAAGCAGTGTTTTGTTACTGGACTTCTGTGCTAGTCGTGGATTGTCCATAACGAACACCATTTTTAACATAGGGATGCTCATGAAGTGGTACAGTTACCAGAGCCGCCTAGGCCAGAAGGGCGGTTGACTCGATTTTGTGATGCGTATCATCGACTAATGCATCGTATTGGACACTCGGGTAAAGAGAGGGGCGGAGCTGTCAACTGATCACCATCTGGTGGTGAGTTGGGTTAGGTGGCGGGGGAAGCCACTGGACAGACCTGGTAAACCCAAACGTGTAGTATGGGTGAACTAGGAACGTCTAGAGGAGGCCCCTGTCCGAGAGACCTTCAACTCCCACCTCCGGCGGAGCTTCTCCGGCATCCCTGTGGAGGCTGGGGACATCGAACCAGAGTGGTTGGTGTTCAAAGCTTCCATTGCTGAAGCTGTGAGCTGTGGTTTTAAGGTCTTGGGTGCCTCGAGGGCCGGTAACCCTTGCACACCGGTGGTCAGGGAAGCCGTCTGACTGAAGAAGGAGGCCTTCCGGGATATGTTATCCCGGGGGACTCAGACATTTTATCTCAAAGCGAGTGACGAATCAATACTAGAAAGATTTCAGCATTACCAAAAAAGGTGATAAAGCAAAGATGTGATATGGCTTTATGAGCACTGTAATCAACAGATGGTCAGAGTCAGGCTCCCACAATTTTACAGGTATGGTAAGACTAGTAGTTTAGTAGTAGTTTAAGTATGTTTCAGGTTTGTGTTCGATTTCGACCAAGAACACGTTGCCATGTTCTCATCCTTAACACTAACTGAAAAGCCTTTGTAGTAGTAACTGTCTCTGCAGCACAGATGAAAGGTACAAGAATCAGCAGGCAGAGAAATCTCAATGCACATCACTGCAGCCTGAGAACATGAAGTGGTGACCATGGCAACTGCATTAAGCAATCAGGCACAGGCTCTGACACTAAATCAGGCTTTACTGCTGGCGGATTTATCACAGGTCCGAATGGCACTGTCCCTCAGAGAGGCAGCAAAGGATGCTCTGTCGCAAATAGTTTTTAAGTAATTTGTTCCAGCGAGGCTTTACAGCAAATACATGCACACTGGAGGTTACCTCCTCAGTGTTTCCTGTTTGATGTGTGTATCACTTTAAGTGTTTCATTTAAGGCTAACATGATACACCAGCTTGCCGACATACACTGATGAAACCTTCCTTAAACGTACTGCAAGGAGTTTTTTTTTTTTTACTGGTTATGAAACAACCAATTTAAAACTCTATTTTATGGAGGACCACAAGTGTCAAGGAAATATTAATTGAGCATTTCATTAATTAATAACTAATTTTACAATAAAAATAGGCATTCATTGTTATTAATTAGTTACTAAATAAAGAAATGCACTTTAAGTGACACTTGTGGTCCTCCATACTATATGACCTACATAAACAAACAAGACCATCAGGGAGACGACTGTTTCTGTGTTCCTCTGTTAGTTATTCTTAATGTCTGCAAACCAGTCAGATTTCCCATGAAATCAATAAAACAAGGTG